AATCCCACAGGCTATTGACTTTTAAAAAATTTCATATAAAAAAACAGCGGGTTCAGCGTTAGGATAAGATTAAGTAAACAATTAGTACTAGACATACCTCGTATATAGTTTTAGACGGTTCAATCCATGATAATCGGTTTTAATTTTTGTGTGAATGTCTCATCCAATTTGATATTGGTACAGTTTCATCCATATTTTTGTTCAAGTAGAGCCGGGGGTCTCTTGAAAACAGCATCTCTACTTCCGAGTAGGGGCAAGGTCTGCGTACACACGTCCTCCCCAGACCCTACCTTAGTGAGATTCACCTGGGTTGTTGTTACGGTTTCAAGATAGAGTAAAAAACATTAATCCTGTTTGAAAACACAATAAATGATTCGGTACTACAATTTTAAACGATTCTACAAAAAAAAAACAGGTTCAAAGTTAGGATAAGATGAAATAAACAAACTGTAATTAGTTTGTAAGAGATGTGATTGGAATGAATTGTCTAGAAATAGAATATGCATACCTAATGTAATATATGTTAAAGAATGAACGATAGTGACATCCCTCCAATAATTACATATCAGTCTAGCAAACTAACACAAAACAAACTTGTGAAGGTAAAAAAGAAGTAAGATAAGAAGAGTGACTACAAGAACAAGCAGCAGCAAGCTAAGTAAGTGAGAATTATATCGTATCCGAAATGAAGATCCGGTTGACTCTGTCTGTACATGTATGTATCCAGCTACCAGTACGTACATGTTGAATCCAGAGAAGTATCACCTCATCATCCTTTTGATCCCAACTTTCTTAAAGTCATGACACTCAGTATCCATTCCACTCATGGTGAAGAAGTCATGACACAGAAGTGCAGAAGGCATCGTCCTCTCGTCCGCATTCCAGTTTAGACACTCGGCCACGAACTCCTCTAATTCCTAGGTGAAATACCTTTCCTCTTCGTTGTCTTGCGGTCTTCCCCCCTTCCGAAGGATCCTCCCGGGAAGCCTTCTTGTCTTGTTTATTCCTCGAATCATCACCCCTAGCACTTCCTGGATCGGGACCCCCCGTAAGCCAACTCAAGGCCCAGTATCCCGACCTGCCACACGCCCCCACTCCGAGTCTTGTAAGAATTATTCCTCCCATGGTGGTTGTACAGCTCCGGTGCAGCTACCCATTCCGAAATAAAGACCTCGAGCAGCATCCCAGAGGTCGAGCACTCTGAGTTCCCAACCCCATCCTCGTACACCGTCGCATCATATCCTAGGCTGACCCTTGGCCCCTTCATATTTATCGGCCGCAGGTACAATTACATGATTCCCACGAGCCAGATATCTGCTTTCTTGCCGTCGGAGTAGTTGTACCTGCGGCCGAATACCTCAGGGGCAGCTGTAGTTGTACGGGCCATCATCTGCACAAGTGTTCGTCCTAAGGACCTGCAGCCGATAAATATCCGCTTTCTTGCATAGTGTTCGTCCTAAGGACCGTACTAATGGGGCTGGATCATCTGCACAAGACTTGCGGGATCCACAGGGACATTAATGCGGGACATGTGTATGTAGTGAAGGGGCTAAGGGTTAGCCTAGGATATGATGCCACGATGTACGAGGATGAGGTTGGGAACCTTGAGTGCTCGACCTCTGGGATGCTGCCCGAGGTCTTTATTTCGGAGTGGGCAGCTGCACCGGAGCTGTACAACCACCATGGGGGGAAGAATTCTTACAAGACTCGGAGTGGGAACGTGTGGCATGTGGGGATACTGCCCATTGAGTTGGCTTACGGGGGGTCAAAGTCCCGAGCCGGGAAGTGCTAGGGGTGATGATTCGAGGAATAAACAAGACGAGAAGGCTTCCCGAGAGGATCCCTCGGAAGGGGGGAAGACCGCAAGAGAACAAGAGGAAAGGTATTTTACCCAGGAATTCGAGGAGTTCGTGGCCGAGTGTCTAAACTGGAATGCGGACGAGAGGCCGATGCCTTCTGCACTTCTGTGTCATGACTTCTTCACCAGGAGTGGAATGGATACTGAGTGTCATGACTTTGAGAAAGTTGTGATCAAAATGATGATGAAGTGATACTTCTCTGGATTCAATTCATATGTACGTACTGGCAGCTGGATACATACCTGTACAGACAGAGTCAATCGGATCTTCATTTTGGATACGATATAATTCTCACTTACTTAGCTTGCTGTTGCTTGATCTTGTAGTCACTCTTCTTATCTTACTTCTTTTTTACCTTCACAAGTTTGTTTTGTGTTAGTTTGCTAGACTGATATGCAATTATTGGAGGGCTGTCACTATCGTTCATTCTTTTACATATATTACATTAGGTATGCATCTTCTATTTCTAGACAATTCATTCTAATCACATCTCTTACAAACTAATTACAATTTGTTTATTTCATCTTATCCTAACATTGAACCTGTTTTTTTTTTTGTAGAATTGTTTAAAATTGTAGTACCGAATCACTTATTGTGTTTTCAAACAGGATTAATGTTTTTACTCTATCTTGAAACCATAACAATAACAACCCAGGTGAATCCCACTAAGGTAGGGTCTGGGGAGGGCGTGTGTACGCAAATCTTGCCCCTACTCGGAAGTAGAGAGGCTGTTTCCAAGAGACCCCCGGCTCTACCTGCACAAAAATATGGATGAAACCGTACCAATATCAAATTGGATGAGACTTTCACACAAAAATTAAAATCGATTATCATGGATTGAACCGTCTAAAACTATATACGAGGTATGTCAAGTACTAATTGTTTACTTAATCTTATCCTAACGCTGAACCCGCTGTTTTTTTATACGAAAATTTTAAAAAGTCAATGGCCTGTGGGATTCGAATGCTAAACCCATTTAATTTTTTTGTGTGGAGACTTTTAAAATCATAGTACTGACTCGTTTATTGTATTTTCAAATAGGATTAATGTTTTTCATTCTGTCTTGAAACCCAAACAATATCAAATCATAGTACTGACTCGTTTATTGTGTGTGTCTATATATATATATATATATATATATATATACTCTCTCTNGAATATATATATATATATATATATATATATATATATATATATATATATATATATATATATATATATATATATATATATATATATATATATATATATATATATATACTCCCTCTGTCTTAGAGTATTCGTCCAGTTTTGATTTTTAGAACTGTTCATCTAAGCACATTGACTCATCAAATTCTCTCAATGAATAAGCCTAAATATAGTCATGTGTGATCTTGTTTGATTTGTCTTAACATATAGATTATTAATATATAATTTCTATAATTTCTTAATATACAAATTACAAGATAAAATGGATTAAAGAAGTGTATTGGATGATATGTAAAAATGAAAGTGGACAAATACTCTGGGACGGAGGTTGTGTGTGTGTGCATGTGTGTGTGTGTGTGTATAGTTTAAGTACTAGGCAAATTATTTGAAAAAATCAAATAAATTAAAATGATTATAACTTTGATCAAACATCATAAATTGTTTATTTATAAATAGAGGAAATATTATTTTGTTTACTCACAGACACACTCACACACACACAAATATGTTTGAACTACTCGAACCACTTGTTCAACCAGTAAATCAGTGAACGAGTGCCTTGACCGATTTGATTCTGAAAACTATGCATGTTGTTAGGCGTTTCGTAGCCCCTACAAATTAATTTATTATTTCCTTAACTTTTAACTCCTTTTAAGATTCAATATTCATCAAAACATATAGATAGGGTAAGTAAGGGTCGATCCTACGAGGAAAGATACTTTTTATGCTATGAAAATCAATTTACTTTGTCACTTTTATTGTATAAAACGCTAACTAAACTAACAAATAACTAAAAGTAAAGGATATGGGGGGTTTGAATGATGATTCTAAAAAGAAGATAAAAATGCAAATAAAATAAAGATAAGGGTAACAAATAAAAGATACGAGATGAAACCACAGCAACAACTCGAACTTAGAAGTCAACTCAGGGAGAAAACAAACACACAAACAAACACATAAAATAATCACTTTTAAACTTTATACAACGTAGACAATAATAATTAACTCAAATCATTTTGAAAATACTTTTAGTTTTTAGTAGAAAATAAACTGAACAAATCTAATTAATCAATTAATTATGCCTTGATCCTGAAACTAAATTGCTAATTAAACTCAGGGTCAAACTAAAGAAGAGGTCCACCTGCGGTTCTTCCCTATTCTCCCTAATATAGCCTATGTTAAGACCTGCCCTAACTCTAGACTCTACTATTCTTAACAACCCAAGGACCTGCCCCCAGATTTAATTTAAAATAGAGCATTAAGTTCTTTGGAAAACATCACTTAACAACTACTACCTCCGTCCCAGAGTATTTGTCCACTTTCATTTTTACACGTCATCCAATACACTTCTTTAATCTATTTTATCTTGTAATTTGTATATTAAAAAATTATAGAAATTATATATTAATAATCTATATATTAAGACAAATCAAACAAGATCACACATGACTATATTTAGGCTTACACATTGAGAGAATTTGATGAGTCAAAGTGCTTAGATGAACAGTTTCAAAAGTCAAAACTGGATGAATACTCTGGGACGAAGGGAGTATGCAGTGGACTATATCTATTTAACATAGCTAGCTTGATAACTCTGATTAATAAAAACCGGGTGGGAGCCAATTAAGTATTAACCAGGTGACACTTGTGTTTTGAAAATCTCAGCTATAAACGTACTCAAAATTTTAAAACTGTCAATTGGAATTAGAGTTTAGGCGGCCGTCCTAAATTTATCTAATCCAAGTTTAAACAAAGACCAGTTTTCAAACACCTTTTCAAGTTTAGATTTGACAGTAGCGCAAAGGCTAAAACTTCAAAGCCAAATTAATTCACCAAAATCAACTAAGCCAAAGATCCAATCTTTTTTTGTCAAACACTCCGGCCTAAGAAGATTTTATAATTTTAGAGACAATAATAAATCAATAAATCAAATTTGAACAATTCAACGTCAACACACAAACAATTGAACACTTATAATTAAACTTAAACATTCAACACACAATTGGAATTGAAAATAAACATATTTAAATACTAGATTTTAAGCTTATAAATTCAGAAATTAACAAGTTCAAAATCTAAATTAAAGAGCATAAAATTGAAAAGGAAAAAAGAATGCTCCCCTCACTGTTCTTCTTTGTTGAGCCGTGCACAGATTCCCAGAACCGATCCATGACTTCCGTCGACTGCGCCGGACCAGTTGACACCGCCGCCGGACCACATGTCGCCGTCGCACCATCGCCGGACCTAGGGTCGGGACCCTAGGTCGGCACCTGCTCTGCTCCAATCTGTTCTCTCGTTTCTCTATCCGTCTCCCCTTTTGCCGATCTGTTCCCATCTCTATTAATAGGTATTAATAGGGACAAGAGTTGTGTTTGGTTATCTCTCAGATCCGTTTTGTAATTGTCCCGATATATTGGGACACAATATTTTTGTCCCGAACTTGTTCCGTCCCAATATCAAAAAGGACATGAGCAGGACAACTTAAATTTATACCGATCCGCCCCGTTTGTCTCGTTTCATCTACTCTACTAATATATAATATTAATTCTAGTCCAGAACCCAAATACACTCATTCTTTAATTAATTAGTTATTTAATTAAATTAGCTTCATGAGCTCGAAATTTATTTGGACCCGTTCCACTCATTATTTTTTGTTGATTGCTAGATGTTTCTTTTTTTAAAATGAAATGTCACCCTCTTCCCCTTCTTATATTTGGGATTAGGACAAAGTAGAACGATCCGAATCCGTCCCGTTTTGTTCCGATCCCGAATTTTATGGGACAAACCGGGATTAGAATGTAATTCGAACCGTTCCGTACCGTTTATATATAACGGGACAAGACGTGGGACAATCTAAAATCCGGACCGTCTCGATCAGTGCCGACCCCTACTTAAGTTTGGTGAGTTGTAGACTTGGTCAATGGTCATAATGGGTAATGGTGTCGGCCCAACTCAATCTCTTTTCTTCCATTTAACTTCAACAATGGGATAAAAGCATGGGTGCCCCCGTGGTTTACAAAAGCAGCGTCAAAACCTCCTCCGCTTTCAAAAGTTATTTGTAAAACTCTCGTGGTTTTTAAATGGTGCATGGATACCCCCTCTTGCCTATTTTACACATGAAATGACATTTCTGCCCTTGGCTTTTCTTTATCTTCAAATTTCACTCTTTTCTTTACATTTTTTGCTATACAAATAAATAAAATAAAATATACGTCCTCTTTCTCAAATTAAAAATTTTCATTTATTTAATTTTTTTTAAAAATAATTTTTTAGAAAATGTTACAAAAATGAAATAAAATACACTTTTTCATTATAAGTAAAAGTAAAATAAATAAAACAAAAAATTGGATAACATATACTCACTCTATCTCTAGTTAAAAATTCTAACTTATTTGTTTTTAAAAGTAAAATAATTTTAAGGACTTTAAAAATGAAGAACAGAAAGATGAAATAAAATATGAAGTTAAAGAAAAAACTATTTTTTTATATTTTTATTTCTTTTCATTACTTTTTTTAACTGTTATTACTTTTTACTTTGTACATAATATTTTATTTTTCATTTTTTTGTAACATTCTCCAAAAAATATTTTTTTTCCAAAGTACATTATGAAAAATTCTAATTTGAGATGGGAAGCATATATTTTATTTTATATATTTTTATAATAAAGGAAATTGAAATCGGAAAAATTCAAGATCGGGGAAAACAAAGGGCATAAATGTCATTTTTTCTTTAAAAATATGTAAGGGGGGCATGTGTGCTCTATTTAGAAACCACAGGTACTTTACAAATAACTTTTGAAAACATGGGGGGTTTTGACGCCCTTTTTGTAAACCACAGGGGATGCCCATGCTATTAACCCCTTCAACAATCCAATCTTGTAATATTCCTTTACTTTTCTTTGTATTTGAAAATATATCTAAAAATATTATTCAAGGAAAAAAATACTCCAAAATAATTGTAGAATACAAATATGCTTAGAATTATGCATTTTATGTATAAAATGTAAATAATAGCCTAAAATGCTAAATATAATAAAATATGATTATTTAGGGATAAAAATGCCTATAAAGTAACTTAAAAGTACTAGGAAGGGAGGGAATAAATTATGACATTTTGTGACTCAACAACTGTATATATTAAAAATAGGCAAGTTCTTCTGTGGACCTAATATTCATACTGATTTTATGCACCTTATTACATTTGAAGCATAAAAAATGAGCTTTTTATTAAAAAAAATTATTCGCATGCAAGTTTATAAAAATGTGAGAAGATCTATATTTTTAAATGTAAGTTTTGGGACCATGTAAGCATAACTCATTAATATAATCATAGAAATCTTTTTAAATAACAACATATGGATGTGTTTAGTTTGCAAGTTGTATTGTGTTTTAAGTACAGCTGGCAAAACGGTCAGTCAGGTCGGGTTTGGATTCGATCACCTTGGGTTCAGGTTACTTCGGGTTCAGGTAACTTTGGGTTCGGGTTGAGAGCTACATCTTCATGACCCAATATCATTGGGTTCGGGTCGACCCAACGGGTTATGACTTTCATTTATTTTTTAAAATTTTAAGTAATTTTTATGACTGATTGTCAATATTACAAATAAAAAAACTAAGGCCTGGTCATCCAGAGGAAGAGAACCCTACAAATAATGGTTATTCTTTGGACAAGGACAGAGAATAATGGTCGGACGGACAGATTTGTCCTTAAGTGGATGGACTTAACCTGAGAAAGATCTTTCTAAAAAAGAGGAGGATTGCCTAGATAATTTTTCAACCACTGCGTATATATTGATAAGACGGTGGCTCTGAAAGCTTCTATAAAAGGAGAAAGAGTTTAGACAGTTGAAAAGACTGGTAACTGAGAGAGAAAGACTTGAGTAATAATAAAAGAATATTCTGGTGGTCCTATAGAATATTCCGATCCAAAGGTGGACCGAATAGAGAAAGGGCCTCCTGTTTGAGTTAATTCCTTGAGTGTTGGGCATTTATTCACGATCCATTGCTCTTTCTTTCTTTCTTTCATTCTTACTGTTATAAAGCCCGGATACTAATATTTAGACCTGGACCGATCAACAGTTCCAGAAATAAATATTAGGCATCCATTATATATACACACACACACCTGTGTGTATTATTATTATCACTAATTATTTTTATACCAATTTTTTAACCTGCACTATCTGCCTGGATGAATTCTCAGGGGGCCACGTGGTCACGCGGCTGCCACCACCGTGCTCTCACAGGTTCCACGCCGCGTGTATCGCGATTTGGTTGAAGATGAAGCGGACATGTCCTCTGTGCAGGGCAAGAGTTGATCAACCCCTGTAAAAACAAAGGGAAATCACCTATCTCTATACATTTGGTCCTTTTAAGTTTTTTTGAAACCAAATGTAAAATCAGACTTCACAAGGTTGGTTCTTTACAATTGATGAGAATTCACAAATTAGTTAGTGGTCAACAATTAAACCTCAATCAGACTTAATTGTGTTTTGTTTAGAATACTTTTTTTCAACTCTTTATTTAATATTGTAGTCCGTAATATAATTAAAGAATTGAAGTTATACTCTTGCCTCACTTTTACCAAAAAATAGTTTAGTTGCATTTGTTAATTTTCTTTTTGTTTTAACCTGCACTAACAGGTTACAAGGCAAAACAGGTGCGTTTTTTGCATGTAATTAGAAATTAAGTGCAGTTTGGTAACAAAAAGAAATACAGCGACATCGTTGACAAAATAATACAGAGCAGTTTAGTGGCATTTTTTTAATACACTCGACGGAGAACTAAGTGTCTTTCACTTTATGATAAAAACCGCTCGGAAAAAATGAATTAGTATTTTGAAACATGGAGTAATATACTTTATATTTTGCAGATTTACTTATATACTGTTAAAACATTGTGAGTTTTCTAATGTAATACCATATGTTTTACTTTTTCCAATGTAACACCATTGTTCAATTAAATGTTTACCGCCACTAGACATTGGTCACAGGGCCGGCTCAAGCCAGGGGCAAGGTGGCCACCTGGACAGGGCCCAATTTTGGAGGGGGCCTACTTTTTTCTTCTTTTGTATATATTCTATATATATTATATATATTTATAAAAAAAACAGGTTAAGACTATGAATTATAAATTTATAAGACTGTGAATTTGACATTTTATTATTCTTATTACTATAATATTTTTTATTGTTAAAAAAATTTAATTGATAGACTTTATTTTATTATGACACAATGGCCCATTTTCTCCGTGACGTCCAGGGTCCCTGATTTCTCGGAGACGGCCCTGATTGGTCAGTACTATTTCGGAAATAAAAAGTTTTTGGTACTACATAAGGGAAAGACAAATATTTTAATTTTATTTAGTACAAATTTTACTACTTTTAATTTGATCACTTAACTCGTCATATTACATGTACCCCAAAATTTATACCTTATTTGTACACCAATGGTATGTATCAATATTTTGATGGTTCACTTAACTCGTCATACCACAACACCTCCATTTCATTGATTTTGTAGTCAATCAATTTAAATAGATTTTATCATCAATTAGATAAGTAATTCATTGAGTATTAAGTATTAAATATTACTCCCTCCTATCTTAAACATCCTTCTTGTTTTGATTTTTTATTATCAAATAATGACACTTTTTTTATCATAAATTTAATATAATATAAATAAAAAATGATATATAATTTGATATATCAAAACAATATGTTAATATGAACCCAATTATATTGAATTTTATTAAATATATTTTTCTCGCACTTTATTGTCAAAATATGTCGTTTTTTGACCAAAAAAATAAAACAGGAAATGTTTTTAGGACCAGAGAAATAATACAACGAGTTTAATTTATATATCTCTTATAGAAAATTCAAAATTACTCCCTCTGTCCAAAAATTGTCTTCTCATTTACTATTCACCTGGTCAAACTTTATTCACTTTGTTAGCTTTTTTCATTATCTATTTAATAAAATAATATGGTCTTGTTACATCTGATTTTCATTTTTTAATTTTAAATTTTTTCTTATAAAATAATTTGAGAATAACTTGAGTCAAATATCATAACGAGTATTGAGAAATAATTTTTGGCCGGGAGGAAGTATATTTTACGGAGCCTTGTGTTGGAATATGAAAAAAAATGAATGTGGGGTTTTTTCTTTAAATCCGGAATGATTAAAATTGAGTCAAGGGTTTGAGTCAAAATCAGAACGTTGATGGAGAGATTTAGGAAACAAAGTAAAGTAAGATTTAGGGAAAGATTTAGGAATAATAATGAAACCTCTCTCCCTCGCCGCCGCGGGATCCCTTAATCCCTATCATATCCCTATATATCAGTTCCATTCCATCCCAATTTTGGCATTCATTCATTCATTCATCACTTTCCCCTTCTCTGTCTCACTTTCTCGCGCAGAAAAAAAATGGCAGGAAGAGCAAGAATGGTTTCTCACAGCGTATCTCTCAATCCCAATCAGGCAAGAATCGGAACTCTCCAACTCCGAGTGATCTATAAGCTCTCAACCGCCGGCCAGTCGATTGTCGTCGGTGGCAATTGCACCGCCCAGCCCATACTCTTCTACCCCCTGCGCGACTTGGGTTCGGCAAGAAACGCCTGTCTCTTCTTCTCCGGCGTTGTCGCCGGGTACCTCCGCCGGGATCCGGAATCAACCGCGCCCATCACTCTCCCCATGGCCTTGGACGCTTTTCGGGTGTTTTTGGGCGAGGGACGGACTCGCGGGCTACAGATCTGTGCCGAATTCGAGGTTGTCTTTGTGTCCCCCGGGTTCTTGGACGGCGGTTCTCTGGTTCTCGATGCTCTGCCGCCGCCATCCCAGGAGGGGGCGGATTTCGTGGGCTCCAATTCGCCTGAATTTGAGGCCGCCGGATTTGTTGACGGGGGCGCTATGGTTCTTGATCCTCCTCTGCCATACCTAGAGAATTCTGATCATGTCAAGGGACCGGATCCGAGAGTGTCGGCGGCATTCGCGGAGGCCGGTTTCATGGACGGCGATTCTCTGGTTCTCGATGCTCTGCCGGCCTACGAGGAGGAGGAGGAGGAGGAGGAGGAGGAGGAGTATGAATCTGTGGATGGGATCATTCCCAATTTCGTAGGCTCGAACAGGGGGATGACGGCGGCGGAAATTTCACAGTTGAAAAAAGTGACCCAAAGCGGCGGCGGAGGCGGCACTTGCTCCGTCTGCTTGGACGATTTCTTCGCCGGCGAGGTGATCATACTGCTTACTCCGTGCTCTCACAGCTTCCACGCGGGGTGTATTGAGACTTGGCTGAGCCAAAATCGGAGTTGCCCTATGTGCAGAGCAATATGCACAGTTCTTTGATGATCGGCGGCCTGCCGGAAGTTGTGGGGGGAAACTGGTTCTGTCCTTTTCAGCGCCGGCGGCAAACACTGCTTTTAAAAATTGTTTATAGAGGATTTTTTTTGTTTAATTTTTTTTACTCCCTAGCTAATTAGTGTTGATTTTTTTATTTCAAAAAAAAAATCAGGGTTGAATTTTAGGGGTAGGGAGTATGGAAAAATAATACACGTATTTTCATGGAATTGGAATTTCCATTACTATTTGTCATGCCATCAATTAGAATTAATGCAATAAATTTGCTTTGAAGAAAATATAATTTGCTAATCATAAATAAAGTTATCATGAGATGTTTAGATTTGTTATGCTTAATTACCAAAGCAATTTCTCTAAACCAATTGTCGTAATAGGGGGGAGTGGATTGGCTATTCACTTCATACCAATGTTAACTTTTATCAAAATGAAAATTTCAATTTTAAATTTTGGTTAGAATTTATTGATAAATCACTCAAAAAAAAAGAATTTGGGATGTTAATCTACACAATTTGGTAGACAACTCTAGGTTGAGTTTCTTTCTATTTTAAATTGAAATAGCATTTTTAATAAAGACTATTTTTGCTTATAAAGATAGTGTTAGTATAAAATGTTACAGAGTAAATGTTAATTGTGAGATACAATTACGATTTGAAAAGATGTATGCTTTCTATTTTAAAGTGTCTTACGTTTTATTTTTTTAAATGTCTCAATAAAATCTACACTACTAAATCCACTTTAAATAAAATGAACAATTGGCTTACAAATCTTTTTCTTTCAACAAATTAGACCTACCCATTTTTTATTTTTCAACATTTCTCTTGAATTCTGTGAAGTCAAACACTGAATTCTCTTAGGAATGGAGAGAGCAATAATATAAAACATCATCATGAATTTGGATATAAATTGATGTGCTCCATAATATAGATTCTTAATTTTTTGTTAAATTTACTAAAATAAGGTGATTGTCATTTTTTGGAATATTAATTTGCTAAAATAAGTTACTGCATCTTTATTTTTCAGTAAAACTAAGAAATTCTTTGAACGCAAGATTTCTTCAACATCCACTCAAAAAAATTGTTGCCTAAAAATGAGACCATCGCATCTTCATTTTTTAGTAAAATGAAGAAATTCTTTGAACGCAAGATTCAATCAGATCAGATCAAAACTTCAAAAATTCTGATATGATTTGATTGGATTTTAATAAGAATGAGTAATAAGTAGAAAAAAATAGGTTCTACGAAACGGACCCTAAATCGTACCTACTTACAAGAGGTCTTGATATTACGGAGTATAAAGAGTACTAAGATTTGGACTCCTTGAGTCTTGGTAATGGGTGTGATATATCCTTATTATTGTTCCCTATAAAACCTAGTCAATAAAATAACTTAGGATCCGTTTGGTATGTGGAATTCAAACTATGAAATTGGAATTGAGGACTTCAATTCCAATTCTAGTGTTTGGTAGCACTAAAATTATGTGGACTTGGAATTGATAGTGTAAAAAATGAATTCGAATTGACAGAATTCAATTCTATGGAATCGAATCACATAGAATTTCAATTCCAATTCAATTCTAATTCCGTCAATTCCGTATACCAAACGGATCCTTAATAAGTACAAATACTACAAAAGGGAATTTATCCAAATTAAGTACTCTATTCATCCCTAAGTATTTATCTATTTTTTTTATTTTTTTAGTCAAAATTGGTAAATTTTGACTTCAAATTAAATAAAAATAATATTAGATATTAATACAAAAATAGTTTTATTAGATTTAATATATAAAATATTTTTAAAAATCATTTTATCTAATTAATATACAATATATATTTTAATTAATTATAAGTCAAAAGTTAAAAATAATTGACTAAAAAAATCAAAACTGGACAAATAAATATACATGGCCGAAGGTAATAATTAAAAACAATACTCGTAGTTCCTAGAAAATTGTTGCATCTTTCGATTCGAAAAATAATAAAAGATTATAGATAATTGTTACAAACATTGTTTGATGTTTCCCACTTGAATTTGCTCATGATACGTTAATGAATAATCCATAATATTTAAAACAGGATATACACATTCATTTTTGGCACATTATAAAATAAAACGGAAAAGATATGTAAAAGAATTTCAGTGGTATATGAATGAGTCTCATTATACGCGACCTATTATTTAAATAAAAGAATGAGTCCGAATTCGAGCGGGTTAAGAGCATCTCCAATCATTGAGTTTTGGCTTATTAAATGTTATTATTTGGCAATCCATTTCAATTTTTGTGCTCCAAGGAGCTTGCTACTTTGGCTTGTTATATATAACAAGTCTCTCAAAAAATAGCAAACCATGAAATTGATTAAATATATGATTTCTCTCTTCTTTTCTCTCATTCTCCTTCTCAAAATATAAAGTTACTTCTACTCTCTAATTTTTTGTTTTTGTATATTTTTTTTCTCTACTCTTTAATTGGTATTTGTTAAATATTTAAAATAATACTCCGTATATTTTATTATTTTCCCTAAAGTACGTAAAATAATACTCCGTATTGTTTTTTGAAATTATTATTTTTAAATTACATACTTATTACTAAATTTTTATAATATAAAATAATAATTGAATAATTATTATAAAGAGTGTATTATAATAGTAAAAACAATATAATATAATTGTTAGCTAAATTATAGCAA